TTTGACGTCACAGTGGGTTCGTGATTGAGCTGGCATGCATATCCATTTCCTTGGGTGTTCTTGGCAGCGTTGCCACCCAGATGCCAGCCTCTGAATGGTCATTTCCCCCCTCCCTCCTGCCACTTTCTAGGAGAAGCATCAATGCCGTGGCTTCTTCCTGGTTGGCCTCCTGTCAAGTTCCTTTTTTAAAAATTGTTGTTATTTTGGCCTTCTCTGCTGTTTCTGTAACGACAGCTGCAGAACTGAGTTCAGATTCAGCCAGTTGGTAGTTGCTTTGCTTTGCTGGATACTGTTTTATTAGGAGTGAAGGGTTTTTGGAAACATATAAATTGCTCACAGAATTCCAGACGTGTCACCAAAAACATTTCTCTCCTTTAAAAGATTCTTGTCCTGTGTTCCAGAAGGAAAAATACATATAAACTACCTGCAACATTACCTGCTTGGCATCCAGAAAACTATCAGAGAAATCATCTGTGTATGAAATGAAGGGTTGAGCCAAATCCTTCCATTACTTGGGGCATTTCACACATGACTTAAAGTGCTTTCCCTGGCTTAAATTGGTGTGTAATGCAAGTGTGCATTGGTCAGAATGCACATTTGTGCAAAGAACAGCTCTCTCTCACTTTGTATTCCATATTAACAGTGTACATTTATTCATACAAACAAGATGAAGGGACTGGGGGGATTTAAGCCTCAGATACATAAACACATATAAAAGTTGCTAATTGATCACAAAAAACCATAAGAAACTTTGGTTGGGGATGAACAATAATTTTGAAGAAATGTGAACTAAATTTGAGTGGTATGATATAGGCATCCTCAGTCTTGGTGTACACATACACATTCTTGCTGTGGCAATTATTACAGGATATATAATAGTTATTATGGGAATATAGCAACATAAAGCAGGTTTTTTTCAGCCAGAACTCACCAGAACTCAGTTCCAGTACCTCTCAGGTGGGCACCATTGCTATTATAAGTGAACAAGGAGGCTTCGTGGTGAGTTTTGGCATCTCTTTTTCTAGAAAAATAGCACTGTAATAAAGAATAATATGTTGTTTCAATCTCTGCCCTGCAACCTGCAGGAACACTTCCCATAAGAGAAACAGGTGATCATTGCAAGGAATCCTGCAATGACCACTCCCCTTGTGTTTGTTCTACTTCTGCTGGGGACTTCTCAATGGAAGACTGGTTACGCATCTCTCATCTGCAGCGGGCCCTCTGCTGGGCTGTGGTTAGTCCAACCCCTGACACTGGTCCTGCACTCCCTCTGAGGAGTGCTAATCCCTCTGCCCACTTTTGGTCTGCTCCTCAACTTCACATTTATTCCAGTTCAAGTTCTGATACCAGAAGGGAGCCAAGGCGGAAGAAAAGCGGATGGGGAGAAGAGATCCAGAGAGGTGGGGCAGGGAGGCGGCAGGCAAGGAAAAGGTTTAGTGTCCCTAACCCCTTTTGCTCTTGGGCTCCCATGCCTTATTTTTTATGTGATGGGAGAGATCCACATTTAAACACATGAATCTGCACTGTCAGCTTTGGCCTTTGATACACATCAGGCAACAGCCAAGTCCTTTCCCCCCCCCCAAAATTTTTTATTGCGTTTCTTTCCATAATTTTATACATTCCACACAACACAAATAAAGTAGATACAAGAAACAATTTTTTCTAGAAACAAATCCCTGTTTGGGCTTCCCCACACCTTCCGGATCTGCGTTCTTTAAATTAACAATGTCAGCAATTTGTTACCTTATTTCATACCTTATTGTAACTTTCAATTGTTATGTGTCCAAATTCAATGTATTGTATCTTAGTTTTAATGCCTTTAAAATAAACATAACATGTTCGATTCAGATTATCTCCTTTTCTCTTTTATCACTTGTTTTACCATTTACTTAATCATATTTGCTAAAGCATAACATTTCCTAATCATGCACTATCTTAGGATTCATACAGCTTGTAATATTTTTGCAAATAGTCTTTAAATTTTTTCCAGTCCACCTCAATAGGCAACAGCCAAGTCCTGGCTGGTGCCCCACATGAACTGACCATGCCCTGGAACCCACTGCATTGCACCAAAGTCTCTTCCACCATGGCATACATCCCTACATCCAAGCTGCTAGGACGTAGTTGGTAAATGAACTGATGTAGATAGTGTTTCCTTCCACTACAAAACCTGGGCCATCCCACTACTGCTCTAGACCATGGCCATCATTACGCTCAAAAAATGCTGCGCTTGCTTGCTATGCTTTGGTTTGCATACTGGTTTAATGCCTGTTGCTTTTGTGCTGTTTCTGGAGCCTGAACCTCAGCCGCACTTCACCAGATGCATGCAGCCCAAGCACTGCTTTGTGGCCTCCAACTGGCCCATAACAACCTGATTTCCTGTGTTTGCAGCGTCTGTCCTCTGCAAGTATGTCATAACGTGCTGGTAACAATAACATTTTCTGAGATCTAAATGGGTTGCAGGCCAATAAAACTGGAATCAACCAATGCCTGGGAAAAGCAAACCAGGGAAAGATATTGTTTCTGACTGCGGTCCAAGAAACTCTTGGCACCCCCAACATCCTTTGCTCTACTTCCAGGAAAAAATTATTCCTGCGTATTTGTGTTAATTTGCTTTAAGCTAGTTTGTATCAATAAACACGATAACTGCTGCATTTGTCTCTCTCGGGTCAGGTCACGGCAGCTTCTCCCCCAGGCACTTTCGCACAGTGTCCTGAGCTAGAGCCCTTTGGCCTCCTCTATTATGGACTGGGCAGGGTCCCCTCTGCCCCCTGGCTGGGAACCTCATAGGCCACTTTGGCCAAAGCAGTGGAGCTACCATTGCAGCAGAGCCAGTGGGAAGGAGAAGGAAATTGCACAAACCTTCAGTTCCTAAGCAGACCTTTCATAGCACAGAATAAAGGAGGCCCTTGCGGGGGGGCTCTCTTTGTGAATGCCGGGAAGAAAAGATATAAACCCTCAGATTTTATCAAGTTCATTCATAATTTTAACTTATTTCAAGAAATATGGCAGTGCAGCTATTCAGGCACAAGAGCAAGCTGGGTATTTATTTTTTGCTAAAATCTTAAAACGTAGTAGACCTTTGCTCATTTCCTTAGGGTTGTTCTTTCCGACTCTTAGCTAGTGGTTGGTTTCCATCTCACTTACACGGTGTGTAATTTCAGACAGCACTTTTGTTTTTATGATAGACATTTGAAGTGAACTGCCGGGGAATAAACAGCTGATTTCATTTCTGGATTATGTCTCTCTTCAAAAATGTCTTATTTGTAGTTAAGATTTTAAAGCTGCTTCGGGGAGGGTGGGTGAGGAAAGAGCAGGAAGGCTGCAATCTGAAACACTCTTGCTCTGCTAGAATAAAAATGTTTAAAGTACTGCAGCCAAAATCATGGTCATATATTTGGCGGCGGGGGGGGGGGGAAGGATGGTGAGCATATTGCTCAGGGTGATGGGGAGGCAGGAAACAGATGATTGCATAGAATATATGTGGTACTCCAAAAACCTATACATTGCTCTGACAATAATTCTTTGAAGTGAGAGATAGATGTGCAATTCTGACGCCATAAAGAGCATTTAAATTGGTTTCTACAACCTTTCCTACATCCCTTTCCCCCTTTTCTTAGTGCTGTGTTCTGTGCTGAGGCAAGATTTGAATCATGCCTTTACATGTAAAGGAATATGGATAGCTTCCCAGTGTTCACTGCAGATGGGGGACATCCAGGGTTAATGTCAGCAAGGAAAAGGAGAGTGCTCTGCACTCTTGTGCAACTGACTACCTCAACAAGGTGCCCTCCAGGTGATTTGAACCCTTCTGGGATAGCTCAGTTGGTAGAGCATGAGATTAAGAATCCTTAATCTCAGGGTTGTGGGTTCAAGACCCACCTTGCCAAAAGATTCCTGCAATGCAGGGGGTTGGACTAAATGAGCCTCATGGTCCCTTCCAACTCTACAGTTCTGTGATTCTGTGGATTCTCATTGTCCCTGACCACTGGGCCACACTGGCAGGGACTAATGGGAGTTGTAGTCCAAAACATCTGGAGGACACCAAGTAGGGAAAGCTGTTGTGCAGGCCATGCTATCTTTGAAGGTGACTCAGAAACTGCAACTAATCCAGAATGCGGAAGCTAGACTGGTGATTGGGAGCAGCCGCTGGGTCCTGAAATACCTACATTGGCTCCCAGTACATTTCTGAGCCCAGTTCAATGTGTTGGTGCTGACCTTTTAAGCCCTAAAGGGCCTTGGCACTGTATACATGTAGAAGCATCTCCACCCCCATGTTTGGCCCAGACATTGAGATCCAGCTCTGAGAGCCTTCTGGCGTGAAGTGAAGTTACAGGGAACCAGACAGAGGGCCTTCTTGGCAGTGGCACCCACCCTGTGGAACACCCTCCCAGCAGATGTCAAGGTGATGAGTAACTGTATAACCTTTAGAAGACTTCTGTATAGGCAGCCCTGTCTAGGGAAGCTTTTTAAAGTTTAAAGTTTTCATATATGTTGGAAGCCACCTAGAGTGGCTGAGAAAACCCAGTCAGATGGGGTGATTATTATTATTATTATTATTATTATTATTATTATTATTATTATTAATAATATCATCATCTGAGGATTCCCAGATCTAACTTTGGTGGCTCTCGACCATTTTGGTATTTCAACAGCCCACTTATCCTGAGAGTCTGGCAATATGCAAATATTTTAAATGGTAAACCATATTTTAAATGGTAAACCACATGGGAGACAGATTACTGTTAAACATTCACCCTTTGCCTTTTTAATTTGTATGTGGTACCCGGTGATTCTATGTGTTTTAAGAATTTTTGGCAATGATCAACATCGAATGTTCTTTAATCAGTGGGCAGCCGTCTATAAAAGTTCTCTGCTCATCTCCTAACCTACAATGTTTAGAATGGCTGCATATTGCTATGGTTTCATGTGTCTTTGGAACAGAGCTGCATTTCAGTTCACATTAACATGAATGTATGCCTGTGCTTACCTTCCTTATGCAGAGACCCTTGGAAAAGCCCGACGGCCTGGATGTTTCTGATCAAAGTAAAGAACACCCTCAGCATCTCTGTGAGAAATGTAAAGTGTTGGGGTACTACTGCCGCCGTGTGCAATAAATCAACACAGGGATCACCTCTGCCACCACGTTTTTACATCCTCTGGCAGCAGTCAAAAGGAAAGAGGAGGGGAGGAAAAAAGAACATCAGACAAGAACCCCAAGCATCACCAATATTGCCTATCAACAAACTAATAATACGCCTTACCTTTAATAGAATGTAACCCTTTTCCTGTGTATGTGTATACGTGCAAGTTGTATTTATAGGACTATGGTGTGTTTATATATATATATATGAAACAGATGTTACTGATGTAGGGCACAAATTGTCAAGCGCTGCTGCTGCTGTACTGCCGTCATCCTTTCCTGTGAGTCTTGCATAACAGCCTCACACAAGCCAGATTAAAACAGGTGGGGTGGTGGTTGTGCAGTAGCAGTTTTTGCTGGACTGTGCCCATCATGTTCATGATGAAATCACCGACGTGGTTTCTGTTGATTGTTTACACAGTTCCAATATCCTGCCCAGGTGAAACAGTATTGTTTGTCAAGAGAGGTATATAATAACGTCATGGCTTTTGCAGGCATTAGACAAAATGGGTGGAAATGTTAAATGTGGGTTCTAGCCAATGCCACAAACTATATATTTTTCTAATACAATGAGGGCTAAGCTAGAAAAAGGTGTGCATGTGCGTGTGTGTGGGAGGGGGAATGTTCATTTTCCTTGACTTTAGGGTTGGTCTGAGAGTTGCATCTGATTGCTTGCTTTCCAAGAGTCCAGGGCCACTGAAATGAGACTTTTGGTAGGCTTTTGATTAATAGAATCTTGAGGGTTAAAAAGAACAAGTGAATAATTGTTTGAGGGAGTGTTTTGCATGGAAGTATAATGGTAGAACAGGAAGGGTCGATCAGGAATTCATCTTTCTTAGCCAGTAGTCTTAAGCATGCTTCCTCAGAAGAAGTTCCACTGAAATCTATAAGGCTACTTTTGAGCAAATGTGCTTAGGATGCATTTGTTGTTTCAGGGCGTTGTTGACCAATACCGTTCCCTTGTCACAATTTCTAAAGCTTCTCCTTCCTTTCTTTATGTACTTGCTATGCAAGTGGTGGCTGAAATTCCTACTGTTGTGAATGCCACATAACCAACCACCTTATATAGCCAACACGATAAATTCAACTTTTTTTATCTCACCATAGCAGGCTATCCCTAGCCCTCCCTGCCCCATTATAATTCTCATTCACATACTCTGTAGTGCAGTTAGATTTTTCCTGCAGTGAAATGAGGTGTCACTAACTGATCTGCTCACACACTATGTTCAAGATGTACGTACTCTCCACATCTAAAGACACACATCAGCTCCTAAACAATAGATAGTGGGGGCTTCCCCATAACCCTTCAGAGGTTCCTAAACAAAAAATATTGTTGATGTATTCATTTATGAGCTCTGTTTGAACTGTGCTTGAGCCACACATGACTTAAAGACAGTGATGGCGGAGGGCAGGAATGGCTATACACTTGGGACTTGCCAAGCAATATGGCACCGACAATTTTGCCTACATTATAAATGAAGGAAATTTCATACGTTACACCCCTCAAGTAGATAGGGTCCACTGAAAATTGTTGTGGCATGGTGGTACTCTGCACAAAGCATGTTTGTAATCAAGCTCATCACAAAAAGGCGCATGCGGAGCAATGTAATAGTTCAGAAGCTCTCCATGTTCGCAACAGCAGACCCTATGATTTTGCAAAATGGTTATGGAGAATCCTCATGTGCCACTACGCCAAAGATTTTTGGTGGGGGCCATAACGCCTTAATCAGCCTTGAGCTTAGAACAGCAAAAAAGCATGATGGGAGTTTGGAACAAGGAACACCTCATTCACTTGCTTTCATCGCTGCTTATAAGCTTCTATGTGGCCTACTTTTTGTTACACATAAGACCAAAAAAAGCTCAATCACAAGACTGAGCACCTAAACTGTTTAGAATACCCAAACCATATTGCATGCCGTTACAGGGTTGCTACTTCAACATCATTGCAGAATATATGCCAGTACAAATATTTAGGACCAGGGTGGGCAGAGGTAAATTTACTGTGAATCATGGGAGACGTATTCTCCATACCTTAACTGAAAATATATATATACTTGGGCCTACTTATTGTGTATTCAGTGACACTTTCAGGAAACAACTACACCAATTTCCTATTAAATATCAAATAATATATCTTAAGTAGCCATAGGGATATCATAGGAATGCATAAAGGAAATTCCATTGCAAAGCTGTCCCTTCTTCCTATCTTCCAAAACTTTACTATATTAGTTTAGGGGAAATGTAATAATTGCACCAAGTGAGAGAATTTTCAAGTGTTATTTGTGAAGCAGATATATTATTGGAGCTGCTCTAACTCCTTTCTGTATTATGTATTAAATTTAAGAGCAGGGATAAAGCAGTGACTGGACCATTTGCCTACACAACCTGTTTCTACAGAGAATGACAGGTGGACTGTGGCTCTGGGTAATATTCACTTGAGATGATCTTCAACGGGGATGTTTTGGTTCCTGGCAAAGCAGGATCATTTCTGGGTCAAATCATCTCATGTCAGATCAGCTAGGGATGATGCCATGTTATCCATAAACACTTGCGGTGAGTATTTCTATCAGCAGTAGCAGTGAAGTGCTTCACTGATTATCATCATGTATAAGAAAACAATGCTTAAAAGATGTTTCACATCTGGAACCCAGTAGGGTAATAGTGGGCTGCAGGGCAAAGAGAGTTTGGGCAGATCGTCAACCATCATTGCAGTGGTCCAGAAGCTCAGGCTCCTTCCATTCCCGTGGTAAACACAGGAATTTGTCTTATGCTGAGTCAGTCTGGCAGCAACGCTCAAGGATCTCAGGCAGTAAACACTTTCCTCCAGACTTCTGCATATCTCCTACCACTGAGCTATGGTCCCACCTGTGGGATGTGGGCCTAAAGGCAGACAGTGGTTTTGAAGAGCATTGAAAGTGCTACGGTGGAGGTGTCTTTTTCACTGTTACCTTGGCCAAAGTGATGTTGCAGGTTTCTGAAGCACTATGAAACCTGCCAAACCTCTTTAACAAAACTGGATACACCATGAGAAATTATGCTTCTCATACCGCCACCAACACTCTGAAAATAATTGCTGTGTATCCTGGTTCCATACCACAGTGGTTAGGAGCAGAGGACACAAGCACTTAAGTACAGCCACAAGCCAATCTGAAGCTGAATGTGGCAGAGCTCTTTAAAGAAACAGGTGCACTCTTTCTAAACCATTAGTAGAAGCCCTATTCCAGTAACAAATTTCGTTGTGAACCTGTCATGTTGTTGCCGAAAACATAAATTCCTTTTATTTTCCTAATTCCATTAAGCAAATAAGTCTCATATGGATGGCAGGCGATATTCATTCAGAATCCGTGGAAATTAATTAACTTAATTTAAATAGTTTATAGCAGCATCTAGCAGCACTGCATGTGACTGTGCCTCAGTATCTCTGGGCTAGATCCTGCAATAATGACTGATTTTATCAAATTTGACAAGTCATGAATTCTCCCTAGGGCTCAATAAAATGGGTGTGACATGAATCACCATGCCTACCTTCTGTGGGTATTATGAATTCTGTCAAATGCAACTGTAGAGCCAGTGTGGCTTTTGTTTTCAAATATAGTTCCCTGAGTGACTTATGAGTGACTCAGTGACCACTTGAAGATATTGTGATTATACAAAAGCAAGGGATCAGGCCATTTCTGCATCAGATATTGTTTACATGAGCAGTTATCCTGAGACAGAAAACCCTGAACTTCTTTATCTACTTTGTTTACGTGATCAAGGGGCTGATCAAAAGCAGAAAGCAAGGAAGACTGCTCCTGTATAAAAAGTTCTAACTTTCCTTCCATTTCATTGCCAGATTAAGTGACTGTGTAAAGAACAGTACAGTGCTCATTATCTTGGGCATGTGGAGGTGAGTGGTGGCATTTAAAAACTTGAACTCTTAGTGTTAATTCTGTTTCACTCTTGCAAGAGAGTTAACAATATGGTTACAAAAGAGCCATATGTTATATCATATACAGTATTTCTCTTTGACCACTTATAAAATGTTAGCAGTAATATCTCCATATCTAATAAGGAAAAGTGAAATATGAACTAAGACAGCTTGTAACTGGGATTGCAATGCCCAACTTTCCTCAGAAAACAATCTGTCTCTTTTTAAGAAATACATTTCTAGTGCAAATTTAGTGCTCTTACATCACATCCACTTGCAGAAAATGCCAAAAATACGCTTTGTAAACAACACACCTGGAAAATCTAGAAGTTTATCAGCATGTGCTAAAAAATAATGGGCAGTTTGCACACTTCTTTTTTACATATGAAGATAAGCCATTCCTATAGGTACATGTGCAGGATTATTTTGACTGGGATATAAAGACGCTTCTAAATTTGACTTCTTTCAGCAGCACATAGAGCAGTCTTAAAAACCACTCTGGAGCCGCCAACCCCCCCTCTAATATTCAGTAGTGGCTTTTCAGGGAGTACTAAGTGCTGATTTTGGAAGGCCCATCTGAAAAGATGTTGTGCATATTCACCCCTGTGAATTGGCAACTCGCAGGTCTCCAGCAACTCTCCTACCAGTGCCAATGTTATATTTACCTCTGGTATGTGGGGGCACTGGCTTTCCAACAAACGTGCCAACGACAAAATAAAATATAGAGATCTATGCATGAAAAGTGCCATGCTTTATGTGTCACAGAACCACCTGCTGTTCCATGTAACCCCTGTTTGTGTAAAATCTTTTTGAGCCTAATTGATTGAACCTGGAAATTCCAGTGAAAATGAAATGTGAGTTTAGGATTATGGAGTTAGATTCCTCCCCCTCCCAAACTAGTTGTAACATGATCCAGCCAAAGCGAAGCACTTTTTAGGTCCCATCCATTTCAATGGGAAAGTTAAGCACATCAGGGGATAGGCCAGAGCACAAACCTTATGGGTTGCATGCCTAAGATTCTAGGATAAATATCTGGCACCTTTAAAAAAGGGTTCTCTGATAGCAGGGCTGAGAAATGCCTTCACCCACCACATTGGAGAACTACTGCCAGGCAGTCTAGAGAGCTCTTATCTTGGTGGGCCAACTATTTGGTTTTGTATGAGGCAACTCCCAAAACCTGTTGTAATCAGTGGGACTTAGAAGTGCTTACCTTTGGCTACATGGTGCCCACTACGTTGTTCTAGACATTATTCAGGCTTCTGATCATGCAAGTGCTAAGTCATCCTCATGTAAACCTTGTTAAAATTTAAGCAAGCAGATATCGGGTTTTAATTCAGACTTAACGGAATGATCCACACTGTCATTCTTTAAGGCAGTGTGTGTATGTATATATATATATATATGATCTCAGTGCCTATCTGTTTTATGTCTACAAAAACCACTGCCTCTGGAAGTATTGTTGAATGGCTGTAGCACTCAGTAAGACGACTGAAATTGTAGCTATACAAATGAAGGTTTGTGTTTTCTTAGGATGAATATCAAAGGGACAATCGTGTGCAGTTAATAGATGTAGTCAATTGATATTACTGTTTACCCCTGTTATGAAATATTTTACAGTTTTACTTGCAGATGTGTATTTATCTTGAGTTATACTTGACATAGAGTTCCTTTCTTCTTTTTAATACTGTGTGTGTATTTTGGGGAAAATACTTTTTAGGTGTTTAAATTTTTGAATGGTTACAAATATTTCTTTGTAATACTGAATTGTTATCTGGAAACTCTTTGCAGTAACCTTTTTTGTATATATTTGAGGGCCTTTTTTTTAAAAAAAACTATCGTTTGTTCTGTTTGGGTTTTTTAAAAAGTGTTTTTACAACTCTGAAGCTTTCAAAAAGGGCCTTGGTTTTTTTTACTAGAATACTAACAGAGCTAAGAGTTTTCTTAAGTATTATACAAAATTAAGGGTGTATCCTCAAGAAAATATTTATGGAAGGAATTTGCTTTTTTGCTTTTGCTTTTTTCTTTTTTTTACAATGCTTTTGTCTGTATAAAGTATGCAACAGAACTACATTAAGAAGGAAATATTGTCTACATAGAATATTATATGAAAGTTGGTACATAATTCTGACATGAAGAAAAAAACCCCTTGCAATTCTTTAAGCCATATTGTTGTTGTTTTTGTTGTTGTTTTCCTTTGGATGAAAATATCAGTATTAAGTAACCAGTATATTATTCAGGTGTTTAGAACTTATATTAATATGCTTATTTGGTTTATTTATATGTGTATTTTGAAAAGTATTGCCTTTTTAGAGAAGCTATAACTGATTTGGTAAGAATCAGATGTTACACTATCACTTTATGACCTTGTGAAAGACACACTTGTTTATAGCCCACTCCCAAAACTTATGCTTAGGATGGGGCTATAATGACTTCTATGTCGGCACAGTTTTATAGTAGCATAGCAGGGACTCCGGTGCAAAGAGTTAGATTTGAAGTGCAAATGCTCAAAGGACTTATTCACACATTATGCTTTTCAAGTGTACATCTAGTTTTTTTAAATAACCTACTGCATACCTTAACATGCAAGGGGGTAAATGTGACAAACATGTAACATCATTTAGATTCGACAGCAGGGTTTGCTGCAGCTCCCTGGTTTTGTTGCAATGTAATGTGTGAAATGATCCAAAGAGTCCAGATTTGGCTTTCAGAAATTCTGTAACACGGTTATATTATCTGATTATTATTATTTTCACACTATCTCTTCAGGGTGGGTGGGTGGGAGGGGGGAGACATTGTTTTGCTAAGGAAGGCTCACAGCAGTTTGCAAAGACTCTGTGGGATTTGCGATGCCATGCTAGCAGTAAAACAATACAGTACTATCAATCAGTGGCCATAATCAAGAAAGAGTTAGATCGACACAAGCATTTTGTGTTTATTTTTTATTTAGAATTCATAAAATGATACAATATGCATGTGCACGTATTATATGCATTTTACGCTTTATGGTTTCACATAGCTCCATTATATTAAGATTGTTTGTGTGATTCTTAAACCATGCTAAAATAGGAGATAGGTTCAATCCTGTACTGGGCTTGTTTTTCCTTTACAACGGTTATTTAGAGCAGCAATCACTACATTGTATAAAACTAACCCTTTTATCATATTAACGCCTACCAGTTTAGATTAGTTCAATTACTTATAAACTTAAAGAAAAAAACACCATAGCTGTACCCACAGACTTCTTTTCAGTTTCAGTCATATAATTTTTCTCTTCTGTAACTGGTAATTAATTTGTACAGCTTAAAAATAATAATAATGATAACATTTCTATGGACATAGGCCTCAGGGGTGCCAGGCTTATTTCAGCCACGAAGGTGATAACTGGTTAACTGGGTTGTTTAAAAGACTGTCAAACCTCTGTTGTGGATTGTCCATAAAATGGCATTCCGACATGTGCCTTATTTGCTGAATAGTATATGGCTTGCTTTTAGCATTATAGCAGTTTAATGCTGTATTAAAATACTGCAAAAACAAACGACAGTGTTCTCCAATTTGTTTCCTTCTGTGCCTCTTACATCTTTTATGCATTGGGACCATGCCTCAATCCAGACCTGGAGTGCAAGTTAGAGGAAGAAGCCCTGAGGTCACTTGGCAAGAACCATTTAGTGCAAAAAGTGGGAGAGTCTGCAATGTTGTGCAAGCTATTTTTGTTGTGCAAGTGGCAGCACAAGCAAAAGCAGCATAGCAGGACAAAATAGTATAGGATAGGTTAACACAGCACAACACTTCTCCTGGCCCATGCTGGCTATTGGATTCAGTTGTGCTACAGTAAGAATTGTGCATGGGCACACTCTGCAAAAAAAAAAAAGGGGGGGCGAGAGAAAAAAAGGTACATCCCTCCCTTTTTTCACACACACACACACACACACACACACACACACACACACACACACACACACAATGTGAACCTGCACAGCAGGGTTCTGTCATCTGAAGACACAAAGAAACCAAACCTCCAGCTTTTGCTCTTTTACATATAACACTTGAACCCATCTTGAATCTCTGGCTATACAATCTAGGACTGTCAATAAATAAATCAGGCTTTAACACCCCTGAGTTAGTTAAATCTCAGCTGAATGGATCCACAACTACACTCTCAGCTTGGTCTCATCATTCCTAAGTGGGACAGAAGAATATATCTTTAAGCCTGAAGTTAATTATGCAGGCAAAATTAGGGCTTGAAATTAAGTTAATAACTCGTTGCATTTGCGGTTTTTGCTGCCTCTTATCTTTGCCCGCTTCCTTCACAGGGAAGTGAAATACTAGCCAGAATCAGATAACGTGTAGTTTGTAAGTAGATACATGTGGAGATACTTATCCAGTGAATTCAGCAATAACAAAAAGAGAACCCATGAAGCACTTTCCTCCCTACTCTCACTCTGTACATAGTGGAGAAGACAATGTCTGGGGTGAGTGCAGGATTTTTATACTGTGACAGGAGGCGGGAAATTTTCCAGAATGTGAAGCTGCTATATTTTTCTGAGGAAAAATTCCAATTTCTAATAATTAAAGTTACATGAAATTAATTTGTAACACAATCAGTGTATATAGCACTATTCAAACCGGGCAATTTCTTCTTTTGGAAGAATAGCATTTTTTCAAGTGGCTCACCCTAGAAAGTGTGTGAGCTAAATAAGACCACAGCTGAATTTCTTAAAAGTTGTATGTTAAACAGTTTCCACTTCCTTCGTTTTCCCCCTTAGAAATAAGATTATGCAACATACAAATGTATACCGCTGACTTTCAGTAACATCTTTGGACTGAAAGAAGAAGAAGATTTCTAGTTACTGTACTATGAGCAGCTGTGTATAAGCGGTGATGCAGGGTGAATGGTTTTCCAAAATGGAAAAATCCTCACTATTTTATTTTTCTGCTGAAGTCTTTTTCACGTTTAGAAATGCATTCTTTCATGAAATCAGTTAGTGACATAATGACTGAACCACCCTGGAAGTCAAACTGGGCAAATCAAATGAATACAGTATTAATCAAATCCGGAATCAAGAGTGGCAAGTAACTTTCTTTTAGGTGATTGTCCTTAGGAAGTACATGTACAAGGCACAATCCAACCGCTTTAGGGGCTTCACTCCAGATTTGTGTAGGGTTTACTCCTTAGCCCAGGCTTCCTCAACCTTGGCCTTCCAGATGTTTTTTGCCTACAACTCCCATGATCCCTAGCTAGCAGGACCAGTGGTCAGGGATGCTGGGAGTTGTAGTCTCAGAACATCTGGAGGGCCAAGGTTGAGGAAGCTTGCCTTAGCCCTTTCTTCTCCCGAAAATATCCGGCAAGGCAGTGGAGGTATAAGAGCTGAGTTTTCCTCTTCCTACCCCTAGATGGGCTACCCAGGTTGATGAGTTCCATCTGCCCCTACACAGAATTTTATTGCCTTTCTTCAGCAAGAACAGAACAACAGGAAACTCCAGACTCCACACAGATACCATTCAGTCCAGTAAAAGGTAAAGGTAAAGGACCGCTGGATGGTTAAGTCCAGTCAAAGGCGACTATGGGGTGCAGCGCTCATCTCACTTTCAGGCCAAGGGAACAGGCGTTTGTCTACAGACAGCTTTTTGAGTCATGTGGTTAGCATGACTAAACCACTTCTGGCTCAACGGAACACCATGGCAGAAACCAGAGTGCACAGAAATGCTGTTTACCTTCCTGCTGCAGTGGCACCTATTCATCTACTTGCACTGGTATGCTCTGAACTGCTAGGTTGGCAGAAGCTAGGACAGAGCAAAGGGAGCTCACCCCGTCATGCAGATTCGAACTGCTGACCTTCTGATCAGCAAGCCGAAGGGGCTCAGTGGTTTAGACTACAGCGCCACCCGCTAGTGACTAGAATATATAATGAAACTATCCACACAGCTGTAAGTAGTTAGGTAGGTAGACATTTATTAAATTTGTATACTTCCCTTCTACCCAAGGAGCCCAATGACACATAAACATTATATCATGTGCAATATGAATTGTACTACACTTCAGGCAAACCCTAATGCGGTTCGAAAACATGGGACTGTGATTCATTGGGCCCTCTGATATGCTTCCAGCATATAACCCTTTTTAAGATAAATGACTATGTTGTTTATTACATTTATACCCCACATTTCCTCAGAAAGCTGGGTCTCTCCCTCCCCATTTTATCCAAACCACCCTGTGAAATAGGTTGGGCTGAAAGGCTGTGTCAGACCCAAGTCACCCAGTGAGTTTCATGGCTGAGCAGGAATTTGGAACACACTGCTATCCAACACTGGATTTCATGACTAATCATCATCATCATTATATATTATCTCATGACTAATATCAATATAAAGTAACATTAGAAACAACCTAAGAGGCAAGGCAGTAAGTTATGAGGGGTGCAGGAGAGTTCAGCCAATGGAAGCAACATCTTAAAAGGAAGCAACAGTCTGGAGTCGGGCTGAAGTTCCTGACAGGAATTCTTTATCAGTGAACAAAAATAAGATGCTGGTTGTTAGTTTTACACAGAGAGATTGTTGCCAGTTTCCTTTCCACCAGACCTAGCCAGTGAACCCAGAACTTCCTTTGTAAGGCAACCAATGAAGATCATTTCTCATGTTACAGTTTGAAGGCTGCCCTAAGTCACTCCCAGATTTTAAAAATTCCATCCATCTGTATCAGTCTGAAGGACTGTATTTAGCCTTAAGAACGTTCCTAGGAGGTGCAGAATAATCTCTGGAGTTTCACTGCTTATGGAGTTCCACTCCAGCGTGGCTGCGTATGTTGTCATTCAGCAAGTATAATTTATTCTTAGATGCCAGAGTAATGGATGAGAATCATTCTGTCCCTCTAAATAACCAAACAGGGCTTTCTATAATTAGAATTGTTCGAGTTGCTCTTTTTCCAGATGTCCATCATGCATGTGGAAATAGTGTGCAGGAACTGTTATCTCAGATTAAAAATTCAGGAACAAAATTATTAAAAGAGGTTTTGAGAAAGGAGGCAGATTGGTGAAGATTAATGACGCTAAGACTGTTTTGATGGATGGAAGTGATGTTATATGGAAAACGTCTGGATATGGCTACTGGATAAAAATAATAATATCCACGCAGGATTACAAACTGTTCTAACCAGCTTGCGGAGATTATCAGAGGTCACAAAGAGAAAGGAAAAATATATGAAAATAACAACAAGAGATGTGGAAAAACAATAAGAAAGGATTGGATAGTACTGTGAACATCATACGGTTAGATTTGTGGACATTAAAACAGCAGTAAGAAGCAAGAAGTTGATTGGATCCCCTTCGGAACTTGAAATATGGGTACCCCCAACAAAAATTTAAAATTCGGCTGTGTAATTTGGAATTTATGTAATTTGGTTTGATTTGATGTGATTGGTCGGTTAATAAAAAAATATTCTTAAAAAAAGGGGGTGGGAAAGAAATGCTTCTCCAAAAGTCTCAGGCACTTTTCTTTCCTAGCTCTACTTACCTGAGATTCTGTTACCTGGAGCAACCAGGGATGTAACCTTTTATACATGAAGCATTTCCTCTCACTTTGATTTAGGTTCAGTATAAGACAGGCAATAATTAGATCCCTAGCAGATCTAAAATTACCTCAGTTGACTTCCTGCTTTCTTTCATCAACCGCAAAACAGACCACAAAAAGATGGCAATTTCTTTGGTGGTTTTGGTGAGGCTATATTGACAGAATAAACCAAAGTTTGCCAACATCTACTGTGCCGTTACCACAACTATTTCCTGTTTTAAGGACAAAAGGAAGTCATGGTGTCTTGTCACACAACTTTGTAGAAAGAGCTGGCAAACGCTTAATTAGTGGCAGCTGCATGCTAAGTCTTCCTGGCCAATAAATTACTAATATATGTTGATCCTGAAAAATATCCTTATTTATGGTCTGAATGATCAATGTAATAATAATAATGATTTTTTTATTTATACCCCGCCTATCTGGCTGGGTTTCCCTAGCCCCTGTGGCCGGCTTACAACATATGCGTGTTTTTAGATGCCCAGCTTCCTAAATAATCTACTCATCTCGGCAGTTATCCATTAGGTTGGATTCAGCATAAATACTCCAGAACCCTGGACAGGATTGTGTTTGCTGTCTTAATTCTCAAAGGGTGCAGACTGAAAGTGTGTCATGGGGGGAAATGAACCTTCCCTGCCCACCCTTCCCCCCTTACAACCAATTTTCAAAAGCCTTTTCTCGTGAGGCTCCCTGACCAAAAATGAAGTAAGCCCTGTTGGGAGAACAACGGCTTTTTAAAAAGTGGACAGTGAGAAGAGGGTTCATCTCACTCACTCACTCACTCTGAACCCCTCTCCTATTATTATTATTTTGTGGGAGGGACTCTTTTACGTCTGAGGCCTACATTCCCTTCCGAGCAACTTTCCACAGCTAGACATAAAAGTGGACCAAGCAATGAATATCTGTTTTACTTTGTATACTAGGCTATTTTCTGCATGCAATCACACACACACACGGTCATCTCTAGCGTTCGTC